GGAGCTGTCAGTCCTCTCGGTCCAGGCGCCCGCCCACAGACCAGCCGCCAGCCAGCCCGGGGTGGTGCCACTGTGCTTGTGCTCGCCAGAGCGCTGCCCGCTGACCCGCTCCTGCTGCCCGCCCGCCTGCTGTCCCAGGTGGTGCAGAGAATCAAAGCCGTGGAGGGGCAGACTCGGCTGCTGGTGGTGGACAAGGAGACGGATGAGGAGCTGCGCCGGCGGCAGCTGACCTGCACCGAGGAGATGGCCCAGCGAGGCCTTCCGCCAGCCCATGAACCCTGGGGGCCGAAGCCGGACTGCACACGTGCGGGCAGCTGTGGCTCTGACGCTGGCCAGAAGGTACGGTGGGCTCTGCTCATGGGGACCACTGTCATGGCCCCCCGATGAGGCCTTCGCCTCTGCCACCTCCACGAGTGTCCGTCTGCCCTGTCTCGGACCCTTCCATGCCCAGCTGTGCTCTGAACTGCACGGGTCAGAGCACTGCGGCCGGGCCTGGCGCTGACACTCCCTCTGACTCGCCAGCCCCGGCCTGGTGGCCAGGAGCTGTAGGGGGACGGGCTGAGTGTGCCTGTGCCCCGTGTCCTCAGTAGGGACTGGCCGCCTGTGTGAGCAGTGCCACGCTTGGACTCCGCTGGGGTGGGCATGAGTCAGGTTGGGGTCAGCCCTGCAGTCTCGTTGCTCCACTCCGTCCTCGTGGGGCTTCACAGGAGGCTTCTCGGGTTCCTTCGCCTCTCCCCACATGTGAAAGGGAGGCTCAAGGCCTTATGCTGGGTGGCACCTCCCCCTTGTCCCTCTCCTAGGCCAGGAGATCTGGAAAAGAACAGGGGAGGGCCTTTCACCTCCTCCTAGGTGGGGGTCTGGGGGTTCCCCACCCAGGCACGCGCCTGGCCCTGGAGGAAGGGCCCAAGGCTGCCTGCCCTGCACTGTGGGAAGCCCTGGTGTCACTGCCTCTGAATAAACCCCTCAAGGGGACCCAAGTCTGGTGTCCCATCCCTAGATCCCACTTTGGAAACCACTGCTGAGGCCCTGGGTCCACTTTTCCCTTTCCAAAGCACCCCATACTGCACGCCTGTGGGCCGAGCCTGGAGGGGCTTCCCTGTCTGAGGCCCTGCTGCTTGCTCTGGGACGCCAGGGTGGTCGGGGCCACGTGCAGCCTGGGGTCAGGTCCTGTCCTGGTGCCTTGGGTTGGTGGCTGACTGCACTACCAGCAGGCTGTCCCCAGGCCCCTCCCTCTTCCTGGGCACCTCCTCCCCCGGGAAGGACGCTCCCGTAGGGCAGGCGTTTGTCCATCGGGTTAGGACACAAAGGGCCAAGCTCACCTTCCTGTGGAAAAATCCACTCTCGGGCCTTATCTGAGGGTGGGGTGGCTGAGGTACCTTGTCCTTGGGTGGGACCTTCCCCCTCCTCTTTCAAGCATGGGGGGCTCCAGGAAGCCCCAGGAGGGGGCTTCCTCTGCGCGTATTTTTAGAGGGACAAAATGGGCTGTATTGGCAGGTCCCTCTCTGGTTAGGGCTGGCCTGCAGACAGGGACTTCGGGAGGCCAAGGGAGGCCCAGGGGTCAGACGGGAGGCCTAGCTGAGCCCATCACAAGAGGAGCTGGCCTCATCTGACCTCGTGAACCAGGCTCACACCGCCCAGCTCAGGTGGGGTGCAAGGGGCGCCCCAGGCTGCTGGGGGCCTGCAGAGCAGTGCTTGCCCCGCAGGGGCAAGGAGGGTTCGCAGAGGGGCTGAAGCTGGGGCTAGGACATGCAGGTTGGAGAACGCCCACCCTGGTGTCCGTAGGAGGGAGGGCCATGTGTCCTGGCCGAACCTGAGTGTTCTCTGACCCAGGCCACACTGGGTGGTCGGGGTGGCTGTGGCTGATCACAACAGTGATGATAGGGGACGGCCCCCTGAGGCCAGCAGCCTAGTGGTGTCAGACCCTGGGCCCTCCGCCCCTGCCCCCACCTGGCGTGTCTTGGGTCTGGGAGCAAGTGAGCAGAGAGACTGAGGAGGTGCCCACCCAGTATCGGACGGGGAGCCTGGGGGGACTTCTGGGGCACCCCACCCTGCCATCCCCCAGATCACATAGTACTGGCCTCTGCTCTGGGGCCGGGCCCCCCCATGCTCCTGTCTCCCCAGCCCTGGGTCCTGGAGCAGGGCAGGGCCTCCCAGCCGCTTCCTTCCTTCCTTTCGTGGGACGGAAACCCCGCTGGGTGTGTGTGGGGGTGGGCGCCAGGCTGGAGCCTCAGCAGGGGAGGGGGCCCAGTCACCACTCTGCTCCCCAAAGTGACTCAGCCCGTGTCCCCACCCGTCCCTAGGGAGCTGGCCACAGCGGGAGGTAGATAAGTGGGGTGGCAGGCTGGCCGGCTGGAGAGCCCCAGCCACGCCAGCTGGACACGGGGCTGCTCCTCCTGTCCCGCCACCCATGGCCCGCTCCGGGAACGCCGCGCCGCCCGCCCCGGGCTCCCAGGCCCTTCCGCAGAGCTGCCCCTGGAGCCCTGTGCAGGTCAGGTGTGGGGGCAGGCTGGGGCTGACAGGACCCCAGCAGGGCTCGGCCCCCCGGGTGGGAAGAGGGGAACTCACTCGGGGATCTTGGTGTAAGCAGCCTGTACCCCGGGCAACAATGGGGGCCTTTCTCTTCCAGAGCTGGTGAGTCACCACCGGGGCACCCCCATGCCAGCCTCTTTGTCTGCCCACAGCACAGCTGAGGGGCCTGGGCTCGCCTAGCTGCGTGTGGCTCTGGCCGGCTGGGAGCCCTTGGGAGCCTGTGGGAGCCCGTGGGAGCCTGAGGGCCTGGCTGGAGGCTGCAGGAAGTTTGGGGAGGGAGGCCAGGGAGGGGCATGCGCGGTCCCCCGCTCTGCCAGCAGCCAGCCTCCACCGGCTGGGGCCCAGCATCATCTCTGTGCAGGGTCAGGGCCTGCTCCTCGCAAGGGGCTTGGGTGAGATGTTAGGAGGGGCCTCTGGTGTATGCCGAGAGATGCAGCCGTTCTGGATTGAGGCAGGGGGCGGCCAGAGTGGCCCCTCGAGAACACAGACGTGGCCTCCGCATGGCCTCGTGGCCCCGCATGGCCTTCCACACCCTGCTTTCCACTCAGGGGCCTTGACAGACCCAGTCTGCCGGCCTTTGCAGAGGGCGTGGGAAGGGACAGCAGGGACCGGCCCCCGCCTGCGTGTGTGGGTGGCTGTGTCCACACAGCGTGTTTGTGAGCGTAGTTTGGACCTCCTGTCCCTGTGGCCGTGGCCACGTGATAGCCTCACAGCCTGGACCTGTGTCCTCATGTCCATGTTCCGTACATGGCCCTGGCGTCTGCCCTAGAGGTCCAAGTGTGATGGGACCAGGGGGCTGTGCAGTGTGCCTTCAGAGAGCCGGCCAGGCTCGGGTCAGGTCGGGGCAGGCTGACCGGAAGGCCCAGAGCCTCGGGAGGCCCCAGCCCTGCGGGCAGCTGGAATGAGCTTGCAGGCCGTGGTCTGGCTATAGGCCCACAAGTGCCTGAGACCTAGAGACTGTCCCTGAGATCCGTGGGACCGTCCTTCAGAGCTACCCTGCCTGGCGCCGGTCCTCAGCGACCCCAGGAAGGTGGAAAGTAAGGGAGAAGCAGCACAGCTTCCCTGCACGCGCCCTCCAGCCCCACGCGCTCCCAGGAAACCCGAGCCACCTGCAGCTGTGCCCCTTTAGTGCCCAGGCCCTGCCCTGGCCCTAGCTGGGCAGAGGGGGTGGTGGCCTGGCCCTTGCCTGCACGACCCCTTGGCCCAGGGCCCTGCTACAAGATGCCAGAGGTAAAGTGAGGCAGGGCCCTGGGCAGGGTGGGGGTCTCTGACACGCAAAGCCTTCCTGCCTGGCAGGGAGGTGGGCGGGCCCTCCTCGGCCTTCAGGGCTCCAACCCAGCCCCTTCTTTGGGCCAGTGGGGGCGGGACGGCTCCAGTCGTGCTGGAATGTGAAAGCAAACAGTCTCTGCAGCAGCCAGCCTCATGGGGGCCTTTGGAGAGAGAACAAAACTGCCCAGGCCAGGCCAGGGAGGGAGCCCAGGGGAGGGGCACTGCGAGGGCAAATCATGCACGCAGCCACCCCGCCTGGTTCTTCCTGCATCGGCCCCTGTGCAGGAGTTCCCAGCACTGGCAACGAGGCTCTGCCCACGTCCCACAGCCAGAGCCCAGCCCCTCCCCGCCCAGGCGTGGGCATGGGGCGTGGGCAGGGTGTTTGTGGCTGAGACCAGGGGTCCTCCACTGCCACCTCAGGCCTCAGAGCAAGTTTGGGGCTGGGGCAGCAGCTCCCTACGAGTGGCCTTTCGGGGTGAGAAGCTGTAGCTGGAATCTGACCCTAACCCTGCGGACCTGTAGGGTGCCAACGGGCCCCCAAAGGAGCCACGCCCCCGGCTCTGCCAGCTGCGAAAGGGACCCCAAGGCTACGGGTTCAACTTGCACAGTGACAAGTCCCGGCCTGGCCAGTACATCCGCTCTGTGGACCCAGGCTCACCTGCTGCCCACGCCGGCCTCCGTGCCCAGGACCGACTCATCGAGGTACCTGCCCCGAGGCTTCAGGGGTGCACCCCCACATGTGTCTGCTGTGTCCTGTGTGGCCCAGAACCCCTGCGTGTCATGGCCCGTGTCCCCACGCCCCTGTGCATGCCTGCATCCTGTGTCCCAGTGCCCCGTACATGTTGTGCCCCATGCCCCCACACTCCTGAGCGTGCCCACATCCCATGTGTCCCCGCGCCCCCCGCTGTGCTTGCTCATGGGAATACTGCGGGCCACAGGGTGGGTGTGTCTGTACACATCGGCCGGCGCAGTGGGGCCCCTGTGCCCGGGCGTGCTCACCCAGCCCCTGCTGGGAGGAGCCCTGGACACCTGAGCTGGGCTCCTCCTGCTGTCTGCCGGCAGCAGCTGCCATGAATATTTAATGCCGCACCGTGGGGGTGGCGTGGGGCCTGGCCGGGCCCTGGCCCTGCTAACCCTGCTGGTGGCAGGTCAATGGTCAGAACGTGGAAGGGCTACGTCACGCGGAGGTGGTCGCCAGCATCAAGGCCCGGGAGGACGAGGCCCGGCTGCTGGTGGTGGACCCTGAGGCGGACGAGTACTTCAGGCGGCTGCGGGTCACACCCACTGCGGAGCACCTGGAAGGTGGGTGCTGTGGGGGCCGGGGTGCGGGGTGGGGCCCACAGCTGCTGACGCGCTGTCCCCACAGGTCCGCTGCCGTCACCAGTTACCAATGGGACCAGCCCTGCCCAGGTGAGGGAGCAGGCCAGGAGACCCTGGGGGCCTCGGGGGCCCCGCATGCTGAGGACTCTACCTTGAGACCCAACCCAGCCCATCATGCCCTGCGGGGATGCCCGTTCGTCAGCCCAGCCACATGGGTGGGCGGGCACCTCGGGGCTCAAGGCTGTGCCCCGTCCCCTCTGCCCACACTGCCTGCTAACGAGCTGCCCTCAGTCCCCAGCTTGTCGGGAAGCCAGCCCTATACTCCAGGTGCTGTTCCCGTGGGGACCCCTACACCAGAATGCACCCTTGCGGTCCCCCTCTGCCGGGTACTGCCACCCTCACCGTGTCGTGCCCTACCCGGCTGGCCCGGTGGGGCCACGTGGTGGTGCCACTGCTCAGTAGTGGCCTGTGTGCCCATGCGTGTCTGTGTACACATGCGTGTCTGTGTACCACGGCTCCTTGAGTGGGACGTGTGGCCACAACTTACTCCTGGTTTCCCAGCTTAATGGCGGCTCGGTGTGCTCATCCCGGAGTGACCTGCCTGGTTCAGACAAGGACACGGAGGTACCCGGGTGCCCCCCGCCGTGCTCGCACATGGGAGTACTGCAGGCCACGGGGTGGGCGTGTCTGTACACATCGGCCTGGGCAGTGGGGCCACTGCCTCCAGGAAGCCCTCTTGAGCTGCTGCCCCAGTGCCACTGGGCTCCCAGGGAGGAGCCTGCCAGGGGCTGACTCTCGCTCGGCTCCCCACCCACCCCAGGACGGCAGTGCCTGGAAGCGGGACCCCTTCCAGGAGAGTGGCCTCCACCTGAGCCCCACGGCAGCCGAGGCCAAGGAGAAGGCCCGGGCCACGCGGGTCAACAAGCGGGCGCCGCAGATGGACTGGAACCGGAAGCGCGAGATCTTCAGCAACTTCTGAGCCCCTCCCTGCTCGCTCATGGCGACCTGCTCCCTTGTGGACCCAGGCTCCCCAAGCCTCTGTAGACTGCAGGGTGGTCCCGTGCCCCAGAGAGCCCTGTCCTGGCCCCACCTGCTGGGTGCTCGGGGGTCTGTGGCAGTGAGAGGTGGAGGTGGAGAGAGACCGCAGAGCCGGGGAGGGGGAGGGGGGCAGCGGCGACCCGTGGGGCGAAGGCCTGCTGACTGAGGAATTTGTAGTTTTGCTTTTTTTCCAAAAAGATCTCCAGCCACATGTTTCCACTTAATAGCAGAGCCCCTCCCCCGCCCCTCGGGACGCACTCTGAATAATTGCAATAAAACAACCCTTTCTCTGCAAACCACTTCCTCCCAGCCCACCCCGCACCGCATCCTCCCTAGGGTGGGGTCACTGGGCCAGGTCCCCCCAACCCCCCCACCCCGCTTCTGCCCCAGGAGTCTGGGATGCTCAGCCTGGGTTCTCCGAGGGGCCGGAGGCCCTAGGCCCTCTCCCTTTGGCACCACTCAGGCCTGGGGAGTGTGTGTGGGCGAGAGCTGGCCCCAGGAAGGACCTGGGCCTCTGGGCTTGGCCCCGCCTGGCACCCCACCTGCAGACTGTCCACTGTGCCCTGAACCCTGACCGGACCGATGACACTGCTGCCTGCCTCTTAAGCCATAGCGCATGCGCGCCCTTGGAATAAACTGGCCTTGCCTCGGAACCGTGGGCTCGTGTCTTTCCTGACCCTTCGGCTGCAGGATGGGGGAGTAAGGCTTATTCTAGGGGACCCTGAGGTGAGGGCTGTGCAGGAAATGGCCTTGTTCCTGAGCCCCCCCACACCTCACACCTGCACTCAGCTGCTCCCTACCCTACCCAGCCCTCTGGGGGCTCGCACCTCCCCTGTGAAGGCACCTGAGCCTGCCCCCTGCCCCTGGATTGGATCCCAGCACGTGCGCACAGGTCGAGGCCTGCCGGGCACATCCCATCCCCGCCTCCAGGCAACCCTGCTTCCAGGGCACTCAGCATGGGAGAGCTTACGCAGCACACTTCCTGGCCCGCTCGGGCCCTCAGGGACAGACGTCAGCCAGACCTGACTGCACACAACTCCCAGGCTTTATTGAACAGCTGTGGCTCCCAGGCAGGGGCCCTCGCCCCACAGTGGCCAACGGTGCTCAGAGGCCCTGGGCAGCGGGGCACAGGGTCTGGTTGAGGCAGGTGTGGCAGCGGGGGCGGGCGGGCAGGCAGGTCTGCTGGCCGAAGCCCACCAGCAGCCCGTTGATCTCGCTCCACAGCCCCCTGTGGGGTAGGAAGGGTCAGCACTGAAGGACGGGGCAGGGGGCGGCCATGCCCCTAGCCCTCACCCCCAGGCCCACCCCTTTCGGCCCACGGCACCTGGGCAGCCACTCTTCCAGTGCCACCCGGGTTGCCTCGGGGGACTTGGTTGTCTTCTTGGTCCACTTGAGCCGGTTGGCGATTCTGTGCACGTGTGTGTCCACCGCTGCGTGGAGACACGACAGGCTGAGTGGGGCCCTGCCCTGTCCACAGCCCTGAGGGCATCCAGGGGGCTGAGCCCAGAACCTGAGCCTCCCACCCCTCCTAGTCCTGGGCCTCCCAGCAGGGTCTCAGACTGCACAGGTCGGGCCGCAGGCCTGAGAACAGCCGCCGTCCCCACCCAGGGGCCAGGGCACCTGTACTCTGGGCTCGGTCCCAGCGCTAGGCACAGCTGCCTTGCGTCCAGCACTCGCTGGGGCTGAGCCCTGCTGAGCAATGTCCCAGCCCCTAGGACATCCTCCGAGGCATCTACTGTACAGAAACTAGGCTGATGGGAGGTGGACTGGGCGTGCGCGAGCTCTCACCCTCCCCAGGAGCAAGGCGCTGGCCTGGCTCCCCTCTGTTCTCTCCTGTGGCCCTAGCCCCTTCTGGCCCAGGTGCTGACTGAGCTCCAGGCTGGGTGACAGGAGCCTGGCCCAGTGGGCTGGCATGAGGTCACTGCACCAGAGCCAGCACCTGCCAGTGCAGGCAGCAGGGACAGCATGGGGGGCGCGCCAGGGCAGCTGCTGTCCACCTGGACTTCAGCCCCACTCCTGTTAGCCGGCTGGCCTAGGGCTTGGCCTGGGCACCCAGGGCTCACCAGGGCCTCCTGCTGCAGCTGCTGTCCCAGCTGCAGCCCCAGCCCTCTTAGTGTTCACAGATGGAGAGCCAATCCCTGCGCCAGCTCCCATGCCCTGCTGCCAACTGCCCGGAAAAGGCAGCAGGAGCACAAGAAGGCTGAAGGGTCATGCTCGTGAGGCCCTGAGCCTCACATGAGGTCCCCCTCCATAACACGAAGGTGTGACCATGACCCTGAGGACACCCGGGGCCACAGCCCAGGGCCACTGCACGCTGTGAGCCTCTTGTGTTGGCCAGGAGGGTTTCCCACATGCACGTCTGCTCAGTTAAGGAGGCAACTGCTCCTTCCACTTTCTGGCCAGGGCTCAGAGAGGCCAGGTGCCTTGCCCCAGGTCGCCCAGCAGAGGCAGGGCCAGGACTGCTCCTGCAGTTGCAGCCCCAGCTTCCTAATGGTAGGGCATCTCTCTCTGGGAGACCCTCAGAGGCCATAGGTCTCCCCTCTGGGTGGTAGGCCCAGAGGCACACAGGTGACATTCTCATGGCCCACCTGTCCCGTCTGCAGTCCCCAACGCCTGCCGGGGACAGGGGCCCTTCCCCCAGACCTGTCAACCACAGCCAGTGCTCACAGCACTCAGGCGACACGGGCAGCTGAGGACAGTGCCCAGGCCAGCTCAAGTGTCTGCTGAGAGCCGGCGGTAGCAGCCCTGGGAGCTGGGGTGGGGGAAATGGACCCACGGGGTCTGCCCTTGAGGGGCTGTTGTCTCCTGCCTCCCCAGGCAGCCAGCAGCTCAAAACCGCGGCCCAGGCCTCAGCACCCTCTTGCCCGGGGCTGCTGGGGGATTGCTGCTCTTTCTCCTGGACCCTTGCAGAGAGAGCAGCACAGAGGGCTGGCGCCAAAGCCTGGTCTCTGGGCTGCTGGGTGCAGCTGCTGGGTGGTGCCAAGACCCCCAACTTCTCTAGGCCAAGCTCTGGGGACAGAGCAGCCCCAGCCTAGACCCCGAGGTTTGTTTTCATCCAACTACCTGCAGGAGCCTTTGCAAGGAAAGGACTCTGGGAAGAGTCCCCCAGACTCTGGGGACGGCCTTCCACCCTCTTCAGCCTCCTGCCTCCCCACTCTGCCTCGTCTTGCTGCTCTGCACTGTCCCAACTCCAGGCTTTGCAGACACTGTTCCTTCTGCCTGGAACAGCTTCCTCCTCTTGGCCTGGCTAAGCCCGCCTTACCCTTGGTCCTCCAGGTGCCCCATCCCAGCCTCCCGAGCAGCCGCATGGCCCTCAGTACTTCCTCCCCATTGGTGGGGGGCTCTGTCCCCTCTCTGTCACCCACAGGCGGCACAGACAGGCCAGATCTGCGGCCTCTTGGGACCCAGTACACAGTAGGTGCTGAGCAAACGTGGGCCCCTGCTCTCAGCAGCCACACTGAGTGGGGCTGGCCTAGCCTGCAGCTGAGAACACCTCTCTGACCCTGTGGGCTGAGTTGCACATGAGGCCGGAGTTGGGGCTCATGGGCTCATGGATCCCCCATGGCCCTTCCCTCTGTGAGGACGCAGGACACTCACCAATGCCCGACACGGTGCCCCAGGCCACGGCCATGGCCAGGTGTGCCATCTTGGGCCCAACCCCTGGCAGTGCCACCAGCTCGGCCACAGAGGCTGGGATGTCCCCTGCGTAGCGCTGCTGCAGGATGGCGCTGGTCTGCTTGATGTACTTCACCTTGCTCTGGAAGAGTGGGGGCGTGCCTAACCTGGGAGGGCGGGCCCAAGGGGCCTCACAGGGCACAGACACGGAGCTGCCCATCACCCATCCAGGACACAAGGAGAGAGGAGGGCCGAGGCGCCAGGGAGCTCTAGACCCTTGCTTCCTACCCAGGCGGCCGATGACACCTGTGGGTCTGGCTCTGTTCCCCGTGCCCCATCACACTCCCCAGAGTCCATGCTGTGCTGAGCAGGCCAGTCATGCCCAGGAGCTGGGCTCAGCAGCACCTGGGCCTTCAGAACGGAAGGCTGGAGCCCGGGGTTCCCAGGAGGGCCGAGGCGCCAGGGAGCTCTAGACCCTTGCTTCCTACCCAGGCGGCCGATGACACCTGTGGGTCTGGCTCTGTTCCCCGTGCCCCATCACACTCCCCAGAGTCCATGCTGTGCTGAGCAGGCCAGTCATGCCCAGGAGCTGGGCTCAGCAGCACCTGGGCCTTCAGAACGGAAGGCTGGAGCCCGGGGTTCCCCCCCACCCGCCCCCCCCCCCCCCCCCAGCCGCCAGGCCAGCCGGGCGGTTCCCATCCTGTGCCTGGCGGAGAGGGCTATTTAAAACCCATCTGACAAACTGCAGCCCACGCCAGTGCCAAGGAAAGGGACCCCACCCCACAGCAGCTTTCAAGAGATCCGCCCTCCAGCCTCAGTGCTCTGTGGGCGGGGCAGCAGCCTCACCAGGACTCTGGGGGAGAGG